CGTCATTACCACCACCACTTCTGTTACTTGGCGATTTTAATGCCCATCATTTCCTCTGGGGGGGTCTCACTGTGATTCCCGTGGCATTCAGCTAGAGGCTTTTCTTGCTTCCCACCCCCTCCATGTTTTAAATACAGGTACTCACACCCATTTTGATCCTCGTACTCTCTCTTGCATCGATCTCTCAGTCTGCTCTTCCTCTGCTGCACTAGACTTCACCTGGTCTGTTCTCCCGGATTTACATGACAGTGATCATTTTCCAATCATTCTTACTTCCCCTTCATATTCACCACCTCTTCGTAACCCATGCTGGCAATTTGATCAGGCAAATTGGGACTTTTACTCACAACTAACTGTTAGTGAGGTTCCTTCTTCGTCCTCCATTGATGAGCTTTTACACCTCTTTTCGTCCTCAGTTTTAACAGCAGCTTCTCATTCTATACCCCAAACCTCGGGCAGGCATTCTCAGAAATGTGTGCCTTGGTGGTCTCCTGCTTGTGCTCGTGCAGTACGTTTGAAACTCGCTGCATGGGGCAGGTACCGGTATAATAGAACCACTGAGAGGTTTCTTGATTTTAAGCAGAAGCGTGCGATTGCTCGCCGTGTCATCCGTGACGCTAAATGCACTTGCTGGCGAGATTGTCTCCACCATCACCTCTGCTTCTTCTATAAGTGCAGTCTGGAAAAAAGTACAGAAACTTAGTGGTAAACATTCTCCTGACCCGGCTCCTGTTCTACGGGTTGCAGGTGTTGATATAGCAAACCCTCTAGATGTTGCCATTGAAATTGGTGGTCATCTGGTCCGTATTTCTCTGGGGCTCCATCTCTGCCCCTCGTTTCTTTCCGCAAAGTCTGCCAGAGAGTTAGCACCCTTGGACTTTTCTCTCAGAGAAGAACGGTATAATGTGCCTTTTACACTTCAGGAGCTGGAGGCAACACTCTCAGCTTGCCGATCATCGACAGCTGGGCCTGACGACATTCATATTCGTATGTTACAACATTTACATCAGTCAGCCCTTGCAGTCCTCTTACGCCTTTTCAATATTATTTGGTCACAAGGAGTTCTTCCACAGCTGTGGAAATCTGCCATTGTTCTCTCTTTCTACAAACCAGGTACTACAGGACATTATCAAATGGTATACAATACCGACAGGTTGGTAGATAAGACACAGGCAACATTTAGGCAACTTTATTCCGAAACGTTTCGCCTACACAGTAGGCTTCTTCAGTCGAGTACGGAAAGTAGGCAGGAGCAGTAGAGATGTGAAGACGACGTAATCAGTCCATCACCCTTGAAGTCATAGATTTGAGGTTGTCAGTCCTTCAGCCTGGAAAAGTTCTGTTCCAAAGTCTGGAACTAACTGAAGATCAAGCGATACTGTCAGAAGGAGAGGTGCAGAGTAGTAGTAGTGAGAATGTAGCCACTGAGAGGTCATGTCCCTCTCAGATCAAACAATTCTACTACTACTCTGCACCTCTCCTTCCAACAGTATCGCTTGATCTTCAGTTAGTTCCAGACTTTGGAACAGAACTTCTCCAGGCTGAAGGACTGACAACCTCAAATCTACAACTTCAAGGGTGATGGACTGATTACATCGTCTTCACATCTCTACTGCTCCTGCCTACTTTCTGTACTCGACTGAAGAAGCCTACTGTGTAGGCGAAACGTTTCGGAATAAAGTTGTCTAAATGTTGCCTGTGTGTCTTATCTACCAACTACGGGACATGAAGCCTCCCACTATTGTCCCATCGCTCTTACCAGCGCAGTTTGCAAAGTGATGGAACATCTGGTAAATAGACGTTTAATGTGGTATTTAGAGACACACAACAGTCTCTCCACTCGTCAATATGGCTTTCATAAGGGCCATTCTACCACCCTTACTACGTTTGGATACACATGTTCGTAATGCCTTTGCAAATAACCACTCGGTTATTGCCATATTTTTTGACCTTGAGAAGGCATATGACACAACTTGGAGGTATAATATTTTGGCCCAAGCCCACTCCTTAGGCCTCCGAGGCAATCTACCATCTTTCCTTAAGAACTTTTTAACTGACAGACATTTCTGTGTTCGAGTCAATAATGTGCTCTCCCTGGACTTTGTCCAACCTGAAGGTGTCCCTCAGGGATGTGTTCTGAGCACAACACTTTTTCTCCTTGCTATAAATGATTTGTCTTCTGTTCTTCCATCCAATACGTATTTGGTCATCACTCTATGTAGATAACTTCGCTATTGCTTGTACAGGCGCTGACTGTCACCTCATTACAGTTTCTCTCCAGCATGCGGTCGACCGTGTTTCCAATTGGGCCACCACGCATGGGTTCAAATTTTCCAGTACCAAAACTCACCAAATTACTTTCACTAGACGTTCTGTCATCTCCGATCATCCTTTGTACCTTTATGGCTCCCGTATCCCTGAATGTGATGCGGTCAGGTTTCTAGGCCTTCTCTTTGACTGTAGGTTATCCTGGAAACCCCACATTACCTCTCTAAAGGCAACTTGTCACAGCCGGCTGAACCTTCTTAAAACCCTTGCTCATCTTTCATAGGGAGCTGATCGTCGAACTCTCCTTCGCCTACATTCAGCCCTCATTTTATCAAAACTTGATTATGGTGACCAGATCTATTCAGCGGCCTCTCCTGCTACTCTCTCTAGCCTTAACCTCATCCATCACCAAGGATTACGTTTATGCCTTGGTGCTTTTCGCTCTTCCCTTGTTGAGACCCTCTATGCAGAAGCGAATGTTCCATCCTTGTCTGATCGCCGTGATGCCCATTGCCTTCGCTGCTATGTGCGCTGTCACGATCTCCGCAATCCTTCCATTTATAGAATGGTCACCGATATTAGTAGACATTCTTTATTTGTTCGCTGCCTGTTTGCTCCGCCCCTTCTCTCTTTGCCTACATTCGCTCGTCTTCCCTTCAGTTACCCCCTTTATATGTTCATGTAGCATCTCATTTTTCCATACCCCCCCTGGGAAGTTCCAGCTGTTCGGGTTTGTTCTTTCTCACTGCCTATGGTGGCTTCCCGCTCTCTTTTTCTTGACTGCTTCCACTCTCATTCTCATGCCATCGCCGTGTACACAGATGGCTCTAAATCTTCTGACGGCGTCGGATTTGCAGCAGTGTTTCCGGACAGCGTCGTGCGAGGGCATTTACTATCTTTGGCTAGAATTTTTACTGCTGAATTGTATGCCATTCTTGCAGCACTTATTCGTATCGCATCTATGCCTGTGTCATCATTTGTGGTTGTCTCAGACTCCCTTAGTGCTCTACAGGGTATACGGAAATTTGATACACCTCACCCCCTAGTTCTCCATATCCAACTTTGGCTATGCCGTATCTCTACCAAGCATAAAGATATTTTTTTTGTTGGGTCCCTGGTCATGTTGACATACAGGGCAATGAACAGGCAGACACTGCTGCGTGGTCAGCAGTACACGACCTACCAATTTCGTATACAGGTGTTCCATTTCCGGACTATTTTGCTGTAATAGCTACCCGCCTTCACACCTGTTGGAAACAATTTGGTTTGCTCTGCTCAATAACAAACTTTGTTCTATTAAACCGAGTATAAGTTACTGGCCGTCTTCTTGTCACCAGTGTCGAGGTTGGGAGACTACTCTCTCCTGCCTTCGCATTGGCCATACTCGTCTTACTCATGGATATCTCATGGAGAGGCGCCCTGCTCCTCTCTGTGAGAATTGTCAGGCTCCATTATCGGTCAGCCACATTCTGTTAGACTGCCCACTTTATCAACGAGCAAGCAGAATTTACCTCCGTCGTCTTCGCTCCGCTGCTCTCTCTTTACCTTCCCTTCTCGCTGATGGACCCACCTTTCATCCGGAGTCTCTCATTGACTTTTTTGACAACAACTGACTTACTCCACAAACTCTGATACCTTCAGCCCTTTCTACCTCAATCTCTTGCTACCCTCTACCCCTGCACTATCCCCTGCCCCTGTTTTCTGTAACCTACTAACCATCCCTTCCCCCTTCTGCCGCCCGATACCCTCGCTTCCTTCCCTACCCTGCAGCGCTGTATAGCCCTTGTGGCTTAGTGCTTCTTTTTGATTATAATAATAATAATAATTGTGTGGACAAGGAGTGAAAATATTGGCTTATTAGTTTTAAGACTGGCAGGCCATGAGTTAGTCCTTCCCATTCCCTGAGTTATCTTAGATCACTTTAAAGTGCAAAAGTGGAGGCATGCATTTATCTCACTGGTATCAAAACTACAGTACTTGACAGTTGACCATTCCCCAGTAATTCTCTGAGGTCAACCATCCAAGTCTCTACAGATCTTAGATAAGGTTTGTATGTACATAATTTTTGAGTCGAATAGATGATCTGTCAGGAAGGTTGTTCACTTATACTTTATAATGTTAACATTTCTTGAAGAAATTCAGTTAGGCATCATATTACTTGTATATAATAATGACAAGTTGATGAATAAGACAAATGTTCAACACTTGGACATCTGTATTGCAGTAATGTCTTCCTTAATCAGTTGACTTTTCAGTAGAATACAGGTGAATTTAACACTGGATACAGTAGTAGTAATTTTTTATTTGGCCAAGCCCTCAGCCTTAATAGATGGTCATTCTCTAAGGCTGAGGGACTGATGACCTATCAAGGTTGAGGGATTGATCACTTGAAAATTGCTTCTACTGTCTCCAGTGTTATATTCACCTGTATTCATCTGACAAAACCTGCTGCACAGGCAACATGTTTTGGTTGTAAAGATACCCAAGATTGCATGTCTTGTTTGATAGGACTATCTAGTGCTTTACATAGAAACAAATGTATGGTCCTGATTGGATGACTTAACTCTTTATACTTTTTCTACTGTACTTTTTTTTTCTTTTTTCTTTTTTGTAATAAATATAGGAGGTTGTTATTGTTTTTAATGTATTATTTTGATACTGTATACAAACCATTTCTTTTCTACATTATATTTTATTTCAACTGATCCAGTATTTTTTTCTATAATTTTAAGGCTGCGTTCTCGAGAACATCGTTCATCGTTGGTTCAGAGAGAAGGGGAACGTACCTCTACCTTGGAAGAGTTCCAGCTTTGCCTCGCCATGGACATATCTGACTCTTCAATTTCATCTGACGTTCCTACACGTACATTTTCTTCTTCTTCTGAAGATTCTACCTCCATGGATACAACATCAGAAATGCGGTGAACTGTGAAGCAGTTAATTATTGCTGGGCAACATTTTAAGTGTTTCTAGGATATTAGTAAGTCATATTTGACTTTGTATAAAAGCTTAGGAGTTTTAAACATAAGTACATTTTTGGGTGCTCTGAAGAGCACTGTTTATCAGGTAACTTATGAAGTAGTTTGCACATTAAAGGGGACTAATACAGGCATTCCTCTATTCAACTAGGTACTGTACAAGAGTAACATTTAAGTATGCCTTTCAGAAAACTATTTTATTTTCAAATAATTCAAATATATTCTTTACATTTAAGAAGAATGGTGTGAATTCTCCCGTCTCTATATGTTTCAAGAGGTTATTAAGATTTTTTTTATAGGTAGTAGGTTGGTAGACAGCAACCGCCCAGGGAGGTACTACCGTCCTGCCAAGTGAGTGTAAAACGGAAGCTTGTAATTGTTTTACATGATGGTAGGATTGCTGGTGTCCATTTTTCTGTCTCATAAACATGCAAGATTTCAGGTATGTCTTGCTACTTCTACTTACACTTAGGTCACACTACACATACATGTACAAGCATATATACACACACCCCTCTGGGTTTTCTAATATTTTCTTACTAGTTCTTGTTCTTGTTGTTTATTTTCTCTTACCTCCATGGGAAAGTGGAACAGAATTCTTCCTCCGTAAGCCATGCGTGTTGTAGGAGGCAACTAAAATGCCGGGAGCAAGGGGCTAGTAACCTCTTCTCCTGTATATATTACTAAATGTAAAAGGAGAAACTTTCGTTTTTCCTTTTGGGCCACCCCGCCTCGGTGGGATACGGCCGGTGTGTTGAAAGAAAGAAAGAATTAAGATTTTCTGGTATTTGGTATGAAGAGTTCAAATGGCTTGTCTTAACATTAATGTTGTTACCTCTTAATGTTACAGGGCCATTCTGTGAAAGGAATATTAACTGTAATTCTTAAACTAGATTAGCTAGGTAATGAGTTACAATCTATATGTATGTTTGTGTTACAGAATGTACAAAATCTCTTATGAGCACAATGTTCTTAGTATCTTTCAGGGATTGCAAACCTAAAGGTAGATCGAGAGACTGTTATCTAAGCATTAATCGGTATATTTAGATGGTTTCTCCTAAAATATTTAATATCATCATTGTAATAGTGTCAAGTCTCCTGTTTGAGGTGACAGTATTCCATAATTTTTAATTGTAGCATGAGTATATGGACATTAAATGTAGTATAAATGGTTCCCTTTGTCTCATACTGTAATTTAAAATATTTTTTCCACCATTTTGTCAAGAACAGAATAGTTACGTTCATTACAATAACCTTGTATATTATATAACAGGAAATAATGATTTGTCATTTTTTGCATCAAATACATGTTGGATACCTCAGTGTGAGCAGCTATGAAGGCTACGTTGATTGCATTTATGACTAGCATTCAGTTTTGTGTTATGGATTCTTGGTTTTAATTTCATGCTAAGCTTTAATTTACCATGGTTGAGAGATATTTGGATGAACAGGAGAACCCCTGTAGTATGTGATAGTCATGGTTGAATTTAGTACTGTATTAGTATATCCATATACTGAGCCATCCAGTTTATTATTAAATTAAATTTTTTTATGAATGAACTATTTTTTCTTGTAATATAATAAAACACTGACTATGTTACCAGTTTTTAATATGCAATACTAATAATTTTATTTGAGTAGTCTATTGTAAGCCTTACATGCCCAATTTTCTATCAGTATGGAGGATAATTACTTGAAAAACTGTAGAACTATATTGCAATAATATGAATGTATAGTGGCACTTTAGGGGATACATTTTTCCATTCTAGTGACTTAAAATATTCTATAGTAAAAATATCTTTATGTAAAAATGTCTCAGTCTAATGTTTACTTGCATACAATTGTAGCTTATTACAGAAATTTGATACACCTCACCCCTTAGTCCTCCGTATCCGACTTTGGCTATGCCGCATCTCTTCCAAGCATAAAGATATTGTTTTTTGTTGGGTCCCTGGTCATGTTGACATACAGGGCAATGAACAGGCAGACACTGCTGCGCGGTCAGCAGTACATGACCTACCAGTTTCATATAGAGGTGTTCCACTTACGGACTATTTTGCTGCAATAGCTACCCACCTTCACACCCGTTGGCAACAACGTTGGTCTACTCTGCTTGGTAACAAACTTCAATCTATTGAACCGAGTATAAGTTACTGGCTGTCTTCTTGTCACCAGTGTCGAGGTTGGGAGACTACTCTCTCCCATCTTCGCATTGGCCATACTCGTTTTACTCATGGTTATCTCATGGAGAGGCGCCCTGCTCCTCTCTGTGAGAATTGTCAGGTTCCATTATCGGTTAGCCACATTCTATTAGACTGCCCACTTTATCAGTGAGCACAGAATATACCTCCAACGTCGTCTTCGCTCCGCTGCTCTCTCTTTACCTTCCCTTCTCGCTGATGGACCCACCTTTCATCTGGACTCTCTCATTGACTTTTTGACAACAACTGACTTACTTCACAAACTCTGATGATACCTTCAGCCCTTTCTACCTCAATCTCTTGCTGCCCTCTACCCCCGCACTATCCCCTGCCCCGCTGTTTTCTGTAACCTACTGATCATCCCTCCCCCCTTCTACCGCCCATTACTCTCGCTTCCTGCAGCGCTGTATAGCCCTTATGGCTTAGCACTTCTTTTTGATTATAATAATAATGTAGCTTATTACATGTGTATATATGATAAAGTGGAAAGCAAGGAAAAAAACTCCATTCTAGATAATACCACAAGTAAATGTGTGAAATAGGACATCCTCAAATTACTGTACGTACACTGTTCAGTTGTGGTCAATTGGATGTGCCCTTTACTTTTGTGGATCAAACCTAAATGCCTCCCATTTCTCTACGTGTTATATGACCTCTGTGGGTTTAGCACTCCCCTTTAATGTAACTGTAATTCAGTGCCAATCAAACCTCAAATGTCATAGGTTAATAAGGTTTAAAGCCTGTCAACTACACTAGGGTTATTAAGATTACACATAGCCTTTTCACCACCAGACAAGAATACCTTAGTCCCTGATATAGAATTTAAAATAAACTCTCAATATATATATGCTGAGAGAAATACACCTCTCGGTGCACATTTGTGATCCACAAATGTCAAGAGGTTCATCAAATTCAGCAGTAACAAAACAAAACAAAAAAACAAAAAAAAATTGAAAGCATTGCCTAAAAATTCTAAAATGAAACAAAAAAGAATCTACTGGTGTCAAAATATGTCCATTTTTACTACATCAGAGCACCATTGATTACAAAGCTATCACAAACAACAGCTCAAATGTTGTTAGTGGGTTTAGTGCTTGGTTTCGATTATAATAATGATCAAATACTCTTACTTTAATCACCTACTCTCCATTTGATTAACTGAAGTGCAGTATAGCACTCACTGTAGGCAGCAAATAGAGGTAAGAAAATAGCAATAACTGATATTGACAACAGCACATAAGGCCCAACAATCTTCTTGCCCTCAGACATTAAAAGGATTGATGCAGCTTACCTACCACAGGTAACAATAACGATGACTACTGTCCTTAAACTGTACTGCGTGTTTCAGAGGATTTACAAGTGAAGTCTTTTCCAAACAAAACCTTATGCTATATTCTCCTTTTAACTTTGATATTTGAAGGGTCTTTCTGGTTGAATTTGAGAAGTCGCCTTTTTTTTCTTTATAACATTTGTGGTTTGCTCAGATTTATCACTTTCTTCTGGTATTCTTCCCATTATCTTTATATCATCCACAAACAATAACACAGGACTCGGTCCCCTCAGGTAGGTCATTCACATATATTACGAGCAGTAGCAGTCCTAGTACTGATCCTTGGAAATTCCGCTTTTTACTTTCTCCCATTCTGATGTCTCATCTCTTGCTGTTATTTTCTGCTGTCTGTCATTTAGATACCTCTTGACTTGCTAGAGCACTCTGGTTTACAACCCTGCATGTTTTTCAAATTTCTGAAACCATTTCTGGTATGGTACTGTATTATAAGCAAGGTAAACCACTAAATCCAATTGGTGCTGCAGGGAGGGATGTGCAAAAGTAGGAATGTGCAAAGGATAGGAGTGAGTGAAGGACAGGGGTGGGCAAGGGTAAAGATTAGGGGAGGGAGGGAAGAGTGCAAGAATAAAATTTAAATCAAAGATGGTGTGATAAAATGATTTCTGTTAAAAAGTCAGTCTGTGTCAAAGTTGGGACTTTCAGCAAGGATGTCAGTTAGTGTGTCAGTGGTGATGTCACCACTGACAGCTCATGGACAGGACAATCCATTAAGATATGTTGGACTGACATCCAACACACAGCAGTACCTGGCATTTCTCCATGACACATCTGTGAGTGAGTTGTGTTCAATATATGAGGAGGAAGGTGTAGTCTCCCAAACACAACAGCAGTGGGAAGAAGACAGTCAGATATATGGCACTGTAATAAATGTTTTCCTGCAGTCCAAGAAAACAATTCATCCAGTCCAGTTATTCTTGTATCTCTAACTCTCATAAACCTCCAGTAAATTTGTAAGAGAAAATTTTCCATCCCTAAATCTGTGCTGACTGTACAAACAGAATTTTCTCTCCAAGTGCTTCAGTATTCTTTTTCTTACTATCTTCTCCAGAATGTTTGAAAGGATGGATGTTAGACATTGTTTTTAACACTGCCATTTCCCACTGAGGCAGGATGACCCAAAAAGAAAGAAAGAGAGAAAAACTTTGATCATCATTCAACACTTTAACCGTCACACATACATAATCACTGTCTTTGCAGAGGCACTCACATATGACAGTTTAGATGTCCCTCCAAACTGCCAATATCCCAAACCCCTCCTTTAAAGTGCAGACATTGTATTTCCCATTTCCAGGACTTGAGTCCAGCTAACCAATTTCTCTGAATCCCTTCACAAACTATTACCCTGCTCACATTCCAACAGCTCATAAGGTCCCAAAAACCGTTCATCTCCAGTCACTCTTATCTAACATGCTCGTGCACGCTTGCTGGAAGCCCAATCCCCTCACTCACAAACCCTTCTTTACCCCGTCCTTCCAAACTTTTCAAGGACAACTACCCCGCTTTCCTTTCCCTACAGATTTATGTGCTCTCCAAGTCATTCTACTTTGTTCCATTCTGTCTAAATAACCAAACCACCTCAACAACCCCTCTTTAACCCACTGACTAATACTTCTAGTAACTCCACGCTTCCTCCTAAATGCTCCAGCCTCCTTGCTGCAGCATTTACAACCCATGCTTCACACCCATGTAAGTGTTGGTACGACTATACTCTCGTACATTCTCTTCTTTGCCTCCATGGATAATATTTTTTTGTCTCCACAGATACCTCGACGCACCAATTGCCTTTTTTTTCATCAGTTCTGTGGTTAATCTCATCCTTTATAAACCCATCTGCTGACAAGTTAACTCCCAAATATCTGAAAATATTCACTTCTTCCATATTCCCTCCCTCCCAATGTGATATCAAATTTTTCCTATCTAAATTTATTGTTTGATATCCTCATCACTTTACTCTTATCTATGTTCACTTCTAACTTTCTACCTTTACACACCCTCCCAAACTCATCCACTAACCTCTGCAACTTTTCTTCAGAGTACTGTCCTATAATTCATTGTCTTGTCTGTCCCCACATTTATCCTTCTTCGATTTTCTGGCACTTGTCTTGATTGGACAGTATGTGACTTGGGCCACACACTAATTCTGGTTCTTCTCTCAGCAGCCATGGAGATATGTTAAATGGCCCAATTGTTTTTGTTACATCAAGCTTACTTTAGTAGTCCCATTAAATGCTTATGTTGTGCTGATGCTTCTAGTATTTGTTGATCTCGTCTCACTTTCTTCTGTAAAAATCTCTGCTTTCTTCCCTGTTGTTCTCTGTCAGCCTTATCAAGTGGTCATTTATAGTTGTCCTTTTTTCTTTGTGTGGCTGTGGAGTAACTTTGGTTCTGTTTTGGCCTTTGATTCTATATAATTTTTAAATTGTCATTCAGCTTCCCTTCTTATTCATATGTACAGTATTTGTTTCTGGCTTTCCTGCTTCTTTCCCGGTATTTTGTGTTTGCGTGCATGCATGGGTATGGGTGTGTGTGTGTGTGTGTGTGTGTGTGTGTGTGTGTTAGTTACCATTTTGTCCTAGGCACATGTCGATTAGACACTAGGCCTGTTGTATATGAGTGTGTGTGTGTGTGTGTGTGTGTGTGTGTGTGCGTGTGTTCACACTGGGTTACTAAAAGCATGATCTAGAGGGCTGAGGAGGGGTTGAGGATGGAGCAAAATGGTATGACTTGGAGGGTGTCTCAGTCTAGTGTAGGTTTTGTGTGTGATTTTGTGGTGGATTTGTGTGGAAGGGGGTTTGGACCTCCAGCAAGCATGTGTGTGTTAGGAGTGGCGACAAATGGTTTTTGGGATTTGATGAGTTGTTAGTGAAGGGATTCAGGGAAACTGGTTAGCCAGTCTTGAGTCCTGGAGTTAGGAAGTACAGTGGCTGCACACTGAAGGAGGGGTTTGGGATATTTGCTGTTTAGAGGGACATCTAAACTATCATAACTATTCACCTCTGGCAAGACAGTGATAGTGTAAATGATGGTAAAAGTGTTTCTTTTTTGGGT